CTGCCCACTCTGAGTCATCACTGTTTAATGACAGGTATATCTTCCCCATTGGACTGGACCCTGGCAGAGACGAAATGCAACAATGAAGAGCACAGAATTTGGACTCAGAATCCAGGAGTCAAGAACCAGTTTAGACAGCTCCTAGCAGAGGGACCTTGGGCTAATCACTTAGCTCTGAGGTCTGCTTTCTGTATACAAATGGGTATGAAATGACCCTGCCTTATGGAGCTTTTGTAAGAATTGAAGGAGAGCATGCCTGCACAGCACTGAGCACCATGGCAGATGTATACTAAGTGCTTAACTGTGGATAGTAGTGTCAATACCAGTATCTTCTTTTCACAGGCTCTCAATGCCCTCCCCTTGTCCTGCTCAGCCCAGGATCACCGCCTTGTCCTCACCTGTTTGAGCACTGTGATCTTTGAATCATTGGTGATCAGCGCTGCCTGGTTCAGGAGATCCACCACCTGGAAGGAAGCGGAGAGGCAGGTGAAGTGCTAGCCTTGCCAGCCCAGTCCAGCCCCCGTGGGGATCTGCCAGCTGGGATGGATTGACTAAAGACGGGCTGTGTCTCCATACTCCAAACCCTTCTTGTCATGCTCACCCTCTCTGAGGTGGTCATGCCATCGATGCCTGGCCCCTCCTCTTGTGTGAAAAACTGAGATGCCACACTCCGGCGGGTGATGCTGTCCCCACTGCTGCTCGCCATGGCTGCTGTCAGATACTCCCTGGAAGAGAAAGGGATGGATCACACTCTTGGCTCCTGTGCATGGGCTGGGCTGGACTGCCACCCCAAAACCCGCAAAGGGCTCAACCCTCCTTCGCAGCCTGTGTTTTCCCTGTCCAGCCTTCCAAAGCCCCTCTCCCCTCCAGAGTCTGTCTCTGGCTTAAGCATAAGTGCATAGGAGTTGTAATTTGGGGGAGACTGATGTCTCCCAAGGCAGAGGCAGAACTCTTAAGCCTCACCTCCAGTACTTAACACATAGTGGGTCAATCACAAACACCTGCTGAACAACTGATCAAAAGAACACACAGCAGCTACCTCACTGGTCTCCGTGCTTCCTGTCTCTCCATCTGGGCTATATTCTGGACTGGGCACCAGAGCAAGCTTTCTAAAACATATCTCTGAGGAACACCAGTCACAGAGCCCTGCATTCAGCTGGTACTCAATGCATCAGAAAAGGCCTGCTTAAATATATTCTGCTTCAGCCAGTCTCTAGAATACTATGGAGTTGTTTTTAAAAGGGAGGGAAGGGGACTTTGGGGCACTTATCACAATGCTACACTGGCAAAATTATGAAACAATTAATGAAGAAGGATATCAGTTACAGCATTACTCATAATAGCAAAAGACTAGAAGCAAGTGCTCTCAAACAGGGAGACTAGCTGAAAAAAACTATGATACAGCCACTTAACAAAAAAGGAATGAGAAAACCAAAGGAAATGAAGAAAATCCCCATAGACTGATTTTGAAAACATTAGGTGAAAACAAGCAAAGTGAAAGGCAGTGTTTACCTATGCTCCCTTTTTACAACAGAAAGAGAAATATGTATGTATATTAAAAGAGGAAAAAAACTGAAAGGATAAACTAAAAAGCAGAAGAGGAAGGAAACAGGATAAAATTTGGTTAATCTCAATGTATTACCATCATGAAAAGTAGTCCAGATAGCCTGTTGCATCACAGAACACATGCAATTTAATCCATTTTTGTCAAGTTTCTGTGTATGTATACACAGAATTATCTGAGGCAAGAAATTTAACTTCTCTGGGCCTCTTTCCTCTTCCGTAAAACGGAGATAGTAATAGTGCTTACCTCCCAGGACTATTCTAAGGATTAAATGAGTTAGCATAGTACTATCTATACTAACACTAGATAAGGATAACTATTATTTTTATGTACACACGAAAAGATCTGAAGGATATTGCATAAAGTTAATAGTTACAATAATTAGCAATGATTTGAGGAGGGCAAAAAGAACATTTTTAAAAGGAACATAATATATTGCACACAGTAGCTACTCACAGTAGTATTACACAGTAGGTGTCTGCTAAGTGAATGACCATCCAACGGCCTCCTCCCTAGTTTCTCTGCTGCCTGTCACCCCGTATCTTGCTCAGAGTCAGAGCCAAAGTCCTCACCAAGACCTACAAGAACTTATAGGATCTGGCCTTTTCTATCTCTGCCCTCATCTCCCTCTTGGCTATCTCTGCTCCAGGTAGTCTGACTCTGGCCTCCCTGTTGTCCCATGAACAAGTTAAGCATGCCCCTTCCTCAAAGCCTTGTGCTTCTCTTCCTTCTGCATACTCCTCCCCCCAGACTTCAGCCAAACTCCTTCCCTCCCATTTCTTTCAGGGCTCCACTCAAATGTCTCCACAGTGAGGCCTTCCCTGATCGTCTTATCTCAAATTTCAACTCCCTCTCCCTCCCCATCTGCTTGCTTTATTTTTCTCCATGGCTTTTATTATCATCAACACAGATTTATAAGTCTATGAGGGCAGAGATTTTTGTTCGTTCACTTTCTATATACATCATGGAACAGTGCTTGGCACCTAGTAGGTGCTCAATAAATACATGCTGCATGAATCAACACTCCTGCCAAAAGGCATCCCCAGTCACTGGGCTCAGGATCCCTGCCCTTTGGCTGTAGGATGCTTGAAAAATAACAGCTAATATTTATTGGACATTTAATATGTGCTGAGTGCAATTCTAATAAACACATTAACTAATTTAAACTGCACAAAACCAACTCTTGGAATTAGGTACTATTTTTAATCTCCTTTCTACAGATGAGAAAACTGAAAGCTAGGGAGGTAAGGTCACTCAACTCACACAGCTTATAAAAGGATAGACCCTGCACTGTGGCTGCAGAAGCTTTCTTACCACTATGCTGTATCTATCAGCAAGGAATCGTTCTACCCCACGTCTTTTCATGTAAGCGAAGCGGCACGGCCACCTGACAACCAGCGTACTGCGTCCTGGTTGGTATGTAATGAACCTTTCCACTCTCTTCATAATGATAATACATCAAGATGCACCAAAGTTTCCTACCCTGTTTCCTTCCTCTTCTGCTTTTTAATTTATCCTTTTAGTTTTTTGGGGTTTTTAAAATATATATACATTTCCCTTTCTTTTGTAAAGAGGAGAGTATACAATAAACACTATCTTCCACTTCACTTAATATATGTCGGAGCCCACTCTATCAGTGTATAGGGATTTTCCTCACTCTTTCCTTTCCTCCTTCATTCCTTTTTACAGTTGCCAGAGAATTTTATTATGGGATGTATCACAGTTTTTTCAGCAAGTCTTCGTATTTAAGAACATTTGAGGTGTCTGTAGTTTTGCTATTACGAACTATGTTATTGTTTCTCCCTTCCTCCCGGTGTACTCAAAGGGTACCACTGTCCCACTCCCACCTGGGAGTATGACAACTCCCCTGGTCACCCCACAGGGTGGCTCTAGTTGTATCTTCCATTCATTCAACGAACATTAACTGGTTGTGTCCAGTGTGATCGGTGGAGCTGTGCAGGGAACACAGCGGTGACCGACACACCCAGTCCCTGTCCTCATGGAGCACGGTCACGGACACAATCAACTAGCACACAAATAAAGACCCAAGAAGTTAAACCACACGCGACATGAAGGAGAGAAACAGGAACCTATGAGAGCATGTAGCGTGCGGATTTCGCGACGGAGGCCGGGGAAGGAGGGCTTCGCAGAGGAAGTGACGCTGGTGCCGAGACCCGACGGATGAATGGGAATCAGCCAGGCAGAATAAGTGAAAGGATATTGCGGGCAGAGGGGACAGCCTGTGCAAAAACCCTGAGGCGAGAAGGCGCATGGCGAGTTTGAGGAGCCGAAAGAGCTGCTGTGCTTAAGCGGGGAAGGAGCAAAGAAGCACAGTCCAGGCTGGCGAGGTGTGCGGGGCGGACACGCCTGGGCTGGGGGGCTACGTCGGAACCCTGCCCTAAGGGCACTAGGGAGCCAAGGAAGGATCCCAAACAGCGGAAGAAACAGGGGTCCCGAACTCCCCTGCTCCCCTTTCCTCATAGCGGCCCTAGCCCCGACCGCGCCCCCGCCTCTTCAGGGCCCCTCGTCCCTTCGTCCGTGGGTCCTCAAGCCGCCGCCAGCTCACCGCCGCTCCGGCCTCCGTCCCCCTCGCGCCCCCTCAGCAGCGCCTCTTCACAGACGCCGCCGCCGCCGCCATCTTCCGTTCTCTTCCGTGACACCGTGCGCGCACGCCGCACCCGCAGGACCGCCGGGAAATGGAGTCCAGACAGCGGCCCCTGCCCCTACCTCGTGCCCCGGGAGCGGCCTTCCGCCTTCCCTCCAACTATGCCCCGGCAGCCCTCCATTTCCGGCCTTCGAGCGCCATGCCCTCTGGGAAATGTAGTTCCTTGGTAGAGGCGCCTACCGGAAAGGGAGGTAGAGGCTTCTGGGCAATGGAGTTCCGGTGGTTCTGAATCCCTGGACGGCTGGCTGGTGTTAGAATGAAGAGTCCCGGCGGCGAAGCGCCTAGGTCTTGGAGGTGGTCGGTTGCCCTAGTGGGGGTCTGAGCAGAGACCCCGATCCCCTCCACGTTTGGTCCTGCGCCTTTACACAGTCTGAAGCATTTCCAGCCGTCGGAAGCCTCAGTCTTCCCGTCTGTCCAATGGGAATGTGGTTTCGAGGGTCTCTTACGGGTCCTTATATAGTGGCATATCGGTACCCTTGAGTCCATAGCGCTCTGAGCCCCCTTTCCTCGGCGGCGGTCATGCTGGACTCTGACTTTTCGTCCTCTCGTATCGAGCTGATGAAACCGTCTGGAGGAGAAAGGCCCCAGAGTTCTGCGCCCGGACTCTTAGTATGAGCAGTGTCTCCCACCAGTGCGCCCTCACTCTTCAGCCATCTCCAGCTCTCGCGTACCGGGACTGCGGCTCCCGGCGCCTGAGGTCTGTCTCCTCGCAATCCCGCAGAGGGCGCCGCAGTCCGAGAGCGCCGCCTTCGGGGAGGCGGGAGGGGAGCCCAGGGCGGGCAAGAGCGGGGGGGTGGTTGTCCCGGCTATAAAGCGTGGCCGCCTCCCGCGGCGCCCGGGACAGCGGGACCCCGGGCGGTCGGACGGGCGGGCGGCGGTCGGAACTTGGGCCGTGCCCGCTAAGAAATCCGAAGCAGTCCGATCCCCCAGGGCCGGAGCGGGGGCGGGTGGGGGGGCTCAGGCCCGGGGGATGCTGGGCTCGGTGAAGATGGAGGCCCATGACCTGGCCGAGTGGAGCTACTACCCGGAGGCGGGCGAGGTGTGTCCTCGGGGATGGTGGAGAGGGAAGTGGGGGGCAGGCATCAGAGTGCCGGCTTAAATGGGGTCAGGGACCGGGATGTGGGCTCAAATGGGAGCCAGGGCATCTAGTTGGGGAGCCGAGGAACTAGGGACATGGACACCAGGTGTGGGAGTCAGAAATGGGGAAGAAGGCATAGGAGCGCGGTGCAGGCAGGCGAATCGGGGCCAGGGCTTAAATGGGTGTCAGGAAGATTTAGGCAAAGGTCAGTCACACCTTAAATGTGAGGGCCAGGTGTTGGGGGCCCCAAAATCCAAGGGATTGAAATTAACTAACCAAAGATAGAATCAGAGCTCAAGGGTAGGGGACAGAGCTGGAGGATTTCAGGAAATGGGGTTCGAAGTTGGAGTGAAAGATAAGGACTAAGAGATGGAGGAGGGGGTGACCATTAAGGGAAGTCTGAGGTGGGAGCACAGGGCTAGAATATAGAGTTAAAGATGGGGGTTGTGGAGGTAGAAATCAGAATTGGGGTTCAGGGATAGGTATTGGCTGGCGAACTAAGATAGGGTCAGAAATAGGACTTGGTACTCAGCGGTGGGAAATAGAAGTGCTCAGAAATGAAGCTTCATTTTTGCAGTCTGAAATAACAGGTGGCTTAGAGTTGGGGCTCATATAGATGGAGTCAGAGTCGAGGACTTGAGAGCATGAGATGTGGGCATCAGCACTGGCAGGAGAAGGTCAATCTTCATTGCCCCCCAACCCTACCCATGACCCTCAGAAGGGACTGCCCAAGTGGGAGGCATGGAGGATTTCAGATTGTGCACCTCCAACCCCGCATCTGGCAACCTCCAGCAATTGCTAAAGTCCTTATTCAGTCCCACCTCAGACAAGGCCTTCCTGGAGTAGAGTGTGGGGGCATATCCAATTCCTTCACCCCAGCAGACAGAAAGTCCTTCCCAAAGTCTATCTTCCATTCCTCTTGTTGCAAGGACTCCTACTCCATAGCCCACTTGCTCTATAATCAATATCGTGAGATTGGGGGTGGGGTCTGGGGTCCTGATATGAGAGTTATGGGGGTCTGGACACTAGCATTCCTAACCTGGAAGGGGACTATGGGCTTGAGGTGGGGGTATAGGGCTGGAATGGCTGGGTTCTCCAAGGAGTCAAGATCTAGTAGTTGTAGGGGGGCCCAAGCATTCCTGAATCTTGGGTCTGGGGTTTGAAGCTTCAGTGTGGGACTCCTGGATCCCCAGGCTTTTGGGGCTTGGCAAGGTGCCCAGGAGGGGCCAGTCCTGGGTCTGGGAGGTGTGAGGTGCACGTGGGTGGGGCAGGGCTGACTGGAGAAGGGATTGGGAGTGCTCAGAGGTGGAGGTGGGGCGGCTGGAGGTATCAGTTATCAGGGACCAAGGTGGGGGAGGTGGAGGCTCCCAGGTAGTGGGGGGATCCCAGCTGGACTGCTGGAGAGCTGAGTCTGGGGACACGATTTAAGGGAACAGACTACAAATCAGTGTTTTAGGGGTACATTTGAATAAGTAAATTGTGGGGGTCTAGGCAGGAGGAGTCAATATTTGGGGCACAGTCTGAATAGATGTGGAAATTGTGTCAGAAATTGAGGAACAGTCTGGAGATAATCAGCATTCGGGTGCATTTTTAGAAGAATCGACATAAAAGGGGCTGGCAATGTTCTGGGGCATAGGTCTGAGGGTCTCCCTAGCCTTCCCATCAGATGAGCCCACCTCTTCCCCTTGGGTTAGAACAATGGGGAAAGAAATGTCTGCACTCAACCAGCAATTGAGAATTGAGAGGTTCCCCAAACCACTTCTTGCACTTTCCTGCTGAGGTGATGCTAACACCCTGGGGCTGTCTCACCATCTGGAGAGAACTTGGAAAGTTATCACCCTAGGGCATCCTGGCTGGCCTCAGGTTCTTACAGATCAGCTGGTCCAACTGCTCCCCCATTTTAGAGATGGAAAATCTGAAGTCCAGCAGAGTGCTGGGGTCCTGAGTCGGGTCTGGGACTAGAAACTATGCTTCTGGCTTCACACCGACTCCCCCTGCTCCCTGTCACACCTCTCTCCGGAGACAATAAGGAAATGAAAGGGGAGAAATTCCAGCCTCCTGGTGTGAGGGTGCAGGTCCCCCAAGGGCTTCCCCCCAATCTCAGCCCCGCCCTGGCTGGGGAGATCCGGTTCATACCCGGACACCAGGGGTTCATCCCAGCCCTGGGGCGTGGGAAAGTCTAGGGTGGATTAGAACAGCTGGAGTGCTTGAGGTCAGACCTCAAGGAGGACTTCCGGGTGGGTGGGGAGCCTGCAAAGGAGAGCCCTGGGGTCCCAGTCTGTCTTACTCTGCAATACAAGAGAGCCTGACTGGGTTGGAGAAGTCAGGATGGGGGTGCAGAGGGATTTAGGTACTCTCTGTGAAGCCCCTTGAATCCATCCCCTTTTCTCCTCATCTCTTTCCTTATTCTAGGGAGGGGGCAGAAGCAGCGAACCACTGGGGAGACCAGTGTCGGGGGGAGAGATGTAGCTGTGGCTTCAATTTCAATGTGAGACTTCTGGGAACATGGAGATACTGAGGAAAGGAGACAGATAGAGACAAAGATATGCTGAAAGGGAAAGAGAGGTGGAAATGGGGTGTGGGAGGAGAGTGTGGTTGAAAGAGACAGAGGGAGAGATAATGCCAAAGAGGGGAGGTAGGGCTGGAGGGGTAGAGAGAGAGACAAGGGCTGAGAGGAAGGGGAAGAGAAATGGGGGTGGGGGAGAGAGGACTGGGGTGGGAGAGGAAGAGCAAAATAGATGGGGAGACGATGGGGAGGAGAGAGACAGGGGAAAGAGAAAGATGGGGGTGACGGGGTGGAGGAGACAGACATGGAGGGAGGGAGGGAGGGAGTGCAGAGGTACTGAGACAGGGACAGATATGGACAGATACACAACAACGAACACAAATAGCCGACAAAGAGATTCAGAGACAGGAAGGAAAAGAGCCAACTGGAGCAACACATGAAGGAGAGAGGGGAGTTTTTCTCCACTGGAACTCAGACCTGGGCATGGTTGCCACCTGTTCCTGACTTCCTAAGTGACCCTGGCAAGTCCCTTTTCTTTCTGGACCTTGGGACCTGCAGACACTTACAGTGGCAGGGGACCAGATGGTATCCACTAACCCACAGCCAAGGTGGCTCTGACCAGGGCTATAGTGGCACTCCCAGTGCTGTGAGATCCCAGCTGGGGGAGGGGACCGGGCAGACAGGAGCAGATGGAGGATTGGGGTAGAGATACTTGAAGGCAGTAGGTGAGAGGGGTAGATACATACAGAAAGAGACGAACCACCATCCAGCATGCTCTATGTTTTCCTTGCTGGTCCTTTTCACTGTCAACTTCCTGCTAGACTGTCAGCTCCATGAGGGCAGGCATTTCTGTCTGTCTTAGTTGCTGCTTATATAGCATGATCCAGAACATGGGATCATGCTCTGGAGCCAGATAGTCTGGATTTGGAATCCCAGTTCTTCCCCTTCCTTGCTATGTGACCCTGGATAGCCTCCCTGGGCCTCAGCTCTCTTAGCTGTAAAATGGGCATCATAATAGCACCTCCCCCATAGTATGTTTGTAAGGATTAAAAGAAACTATTTCTGTAAAGTGCTTGGAGCAGTGCCTAGCACAGAGTATATGGCCAATAAATATTTGTTGAATGGATAAAAGAATATATAGGGGGTTATTTAGAGAGACATAGTAATGTCTACCATATTTCATTAAGCTAAGATGCACCTTTTTCCCCCATTTGAACATTTCTGAAAATAGAATGCGTTTTACAGTCAATGGGGTCTAATGATTTTAACTGAGTGGATTTTTTTTTCCATTTATATTGATATATAAAAAACAGTGCAACTTCCAGTGAAGTCTTAGATTTGATGACACAAAGAAATAGATAAATGATACACTTGTATATTAGGTTGAAATGTGATTTCTGATCTATAAAAACAGTAATTTTATAACCTAAAAGACTGATAGAGAGCTACACATTATTAGAGATTTATAATAACTAGCTATTACTAAAATTGAAAACTGCTGATTTATTAGGTTCTCAATTTATTTGGTCTCAGTACCTCTTTGCAATCTTAAAATTGTTGAGGACCCCAAACAGCTCTGCTGATGTGGGTTATGTCTATCCATATTTACTGTACTTGAAATTAAAACTGAGAATTTTTTTTTTTTTTTTTAAAGATGACCGGTAAGGGGATCTTAACCCTTGACTTGGTGTTGTCAGCACCACGCTCAGCCAGTGAGCAAACCGGCCATCCCTATATGGGATCCGAACCCGGGGCCTTGGTGTTATCAGCACCGCACTCTCCCGAGTGAGCCACGGGCCGGCCCAAAACTGAGAAATTTAAAAAATGTGTATTAATTCATTTAAAAATAGCACTATGGGCCAGCCGGTTAGCTCAGTTGGTTAGAGCACAGCCTTATAACACCAAGGTCATGGGTTCGGATCCTGGCCAGCTGCCAAAAAAGATAAAAATAGCAATAATTTGTTAGAATAAATAACATTTTTATTAAAATAACTAGACAGGGTATTTCAAAAAATTTAGCAAATCAAGTCTGACTCAGTAGAAGACAGCTGGATTCTCTTGGCTGCTTCTACATTTGGTCTGTTGCGATATCACATGTCACACATGTCTCTGGAGAACTCCACTGGACACTCGTGAGACAGAGAGTGAAAAAGGTTAATAATATCTTAGCATTATTTTGAAAATAGTTTTGACCTCAGGGACACCCTAAAAGGGTTTCGGACACTCCTGACGGTGTCCTAGGCCACACTTTGAGAACCATTTAAAGTGTGACCTGGAGTGTATTGGAGCATGGGGGGTGAGCTGGTGGGAAGCAGAGAGGGGAGAGGAGACTTTGAGAAAGAGCTGTCTACAGAGAAAGGCAATCAATGATGGAAGCAGCTTGTAAGGAGGCCAGACAGACTGACTGACAGACACATAGTAGGTCCTGTGATCCTTTGCTGAAGAGCAGAGTGGAGACCAACTGAACCCTCCCCATCTCTCTTTCTCTCCCTGCAGGTCTACTCTCCGGTGACTCCAGTGCCCACCATGGCCCCCCTCAACTCCTACATGACCCTGAACCCTCTAAGCTCTCCCTACCCCCCTGGGGGGCTCCCCACCTCCCCACTGCCCTCAGGACCCCTGGCACCCCCAGCCCCCACGGGGCCATTGGGGCCCACCTTCTCAGGTCTGGGTGCCAGCAGTGGTGGAGGCAGCGGTGGCTCAGGGTACGGGGGCCCAGGACCAGGACTGGTGCATGGGAAGGAGATGCCAAAAGGGTACCGGCGGCCCCTGGCCCACGCCAAGCCGCCATATTCCTACATCTCGCTCATCACCATGGCCATCCAGCAAGCACCAGGCAAGATGCTTACGCTGAGCGAGATCTACCAGTGGATCATGGACCTCTTCCCTTACTACCGGGAGAACCAGCAGCGCTGGCAGAACTCCATCCGCCACTCGCTCTCCTTCAACGACTGCTTCGTCAAGGTGGCGCGCTCCCCAGATAAGCCAGGCAAGGGCTCCTACTGGGCCCTGCACCCCAGCTCGGGTAACATGTTTGAGAACGGCTGCTACCTACGCCGCCAGAAGCGCTTCAAGCTGGAGGAGAAGGTGAAGAAAGGCGGCAGTGGGACCACCGCTGCCAGGAACGGTACAGGGTCTGCCACCTCCACCAACACCCCTGCAGCCACAGTCACCTCCCCGCCCCAGCCTCAGCCACCATCCTCTGAGCCTGAGGCCCAGGGTGGGGAAGATGTGGGGGCTCTGGATTGTGGCTCGCCCCCTTCCTCCACATCCTATTTCACTGGCCTGGAGCTCCCAGGGGAGCTGAAGCTGGACGTGCCCTACAATTTCAACCACCCTTTCTCCATCAACAACCTCATGTCAGAACAGACACCAGCGCCTCCCAAACTGGACATGGCATTTGGGGGTTATGGGGCTGAGGGCGGGGAGCCTGGGGTCTACTACCAGGGCCTCTATTCTCGTTCTCTGCTTAATGCATCCTAGCAGGGGGTTGGAGACATAGTGGTGGGGAATGACTGGAGCTCACACCATCAGGCTCTTGGAGCCTGATCCCTGGTGACACTTGGCTTGTCCCATCAGTCAACATCTTGGTTGATCTTTTCCCTTCTGTGATGATTGCTGTCTATATGGGCATCGTGTTAATCCACTGGGTACTGTGATAACTGCCATGGACATCTTGGTGGGCCCTTTGGGTACTGCGAAGACTGCCATGTTGATGGATGTTACTGATTGGTCCATTGAGTGCTTTGATGGCCACCATCTGGGATGACATCCTGGTTGGCCCTTTGAGTGCTGTGACAGACATCTTCGCTGACCCTTTTTGGATGTGATGGCGATACCATTTCAATGACATCTTCTTTGGCCTATTGGGTGCTTTGATGGTCACCGTATTGGCTGGGTAACATTATCCTTGTGCCACTGTGCACCACGATAGTCACCACAGCCCCGTGGAGATGGCCATGTCATCACCACTCTTTGGTGTGGGTTGGGTGAGGGATGGAGATGAGAATACTCTGAAGCTCATCGCCCCACTGTGATCCAGGAGATGCCAGAATGGGCTGGTTAGGGTGTGGGGAGTTTCTGCTGAAGTCTGGTTCTTGCCTGGGAAGCGGGATACTGACTGTGTTTGCCCATTAAAGGCACTGTTTCCACCTCTTGCTGAATGTCTCTTTTCCTTGGCAGGTAGGCCCTGTGGGGCTTAAATGCTTGAATTTCTGTTCCCCTGTCCCCTCACCTTCCTGCCCCCAAGAGCTGGCTGACTCTGGGGGAGGGGGCTTAAATGCTTGAATTTCTGTTCCCCTGTCCCCTCACCTTCCTGCCCCCAAGAGCTGGCTGACTCTGGGGGAGGGGCTGGGGGAGGCATCGACCTGACCTTTGGCTCTTTGCTGTCCCTGACCCCAAGGACAGTTTGTTCACAGATAGCAGCCCCCGCAGTAATGGGGCCAGGGCAGCAGGGGGAGGTGGCTGTGTAGTGACCAAGGCCATCTCCCCACCCCCATTTCCCAGACACACACCTCTAGCTTTGAAGCTCAGGGAACCTAGGGGCTGCTCAATTTTTAGTTAAGCTGGGGAGAAGGAAAAAGGACAGATGAGGTGTTAATTGAAGAACTGGAGACGGTGTGCGGTGTGTGTTGGAGTTTATCAGTGCGTGTGTGTGCTCTGTGGGCTACGGGACATCACTATGCCTGTTGGGATGCCCATTGGAGTTCCCGTGGTCTACTTCAGGGTGTTATCTATTTGTGCCCCTCAGTTTTGTGGGTTTGTGTGTCTGTTCATACTTTGGGTTTGTGTTTGCTGCAGGTGTCTTGGAATATCAGACTCTTGTGTGTGTGTCTTTATTGTTTTTTGTGTGTGATTCTCTTTGTACGCCTGTCCCTGGGTCCCTCTGGGTCTCACATTGCTACGTGGGTGCCTACGAATATCATTTTTTCTGCCTATCCACTGCCTCAAAGGGTGTGTGTGAGTGACATTTGTGTTGTGGGTCTGCCTATCATTGTGTGTTTTATGTGTATCTTTGTGAGTCAATATGTCTGTATGTTTTTTTTAAAAGTGTGTATGTTTGTTTGCATATAATGTACTTGCCTGCCACTGTTGTGCATGTGTGTGTGAACAGGGGCATACCCAGAAGCCAGCAGTCTGGGCAGCTTACAAGGGTGTATGTGTGTGTCCGAGTCAGCGTGCTTGTCACTGGGCTTCATTCGTGTGTCTTGGTGTCATCATATCAGTGTCATTGTGTCTGTGGGCTTGTGTGTTTCTCTGTGATGTGTCTCTGTTCAGCACGTTAGTGTGTGTGCTTATACGTCTCTGTGTCAGTGTCTGCCACCAGGTTAATGTAGGTGTTGCTGTGTTTGTATCACTGTGTACATGTGTCTGTCACTTTGTGTTTTGTCACTGTGTCTATGTACCTAACAACATGTTTGCCTGTCATTATGCTCTCTATGTGTATGTGTGTGTCTGTCACTATGTTTGGTGTGTGTATCTGTCACTGTGTCTGTTACGGTGTGTCTCTGTCGTTATTTATGTCTTTGTCACTCTGGACCTGTCGCTGTGGATCTGCCTATATCTGTCCCTGTGTGTCACTGTGTCTATCCCCCATGTGTCACCATCTACCCAGGTGTTACCATGTATGTTACTCACCACCCAGGCCACAGGTGGGCGTGCCGGGCCCACTGGTGCCAGGGCTGGGGCCCAACCCATCCCACCCTTGCCTCCCGTGGGCCAGCCTGGGCGCCTGTTTGCAGTGCCTGCCCCAGGTAAACACCAAGATCCGGAACCCCAGAGCCACCTCCCTCACCTCTGCTCCCTGCCCCTCAGCTTGCTCTGGACCGGGCCGGGCCAGAGCCCTACAGATGGTACCCCCCAAACTGGAGACGTGCCCTGACCGTCCCCGCACCCTTGAGCGCCAGCCTCCCCAAACCCCCAGCCTTGGCCTTGGCCCCATCTATCTGTCTGTCTGCTTCTCTCTCTCCATGTCTCTCTCTGGATGTTTCCCGACTTCTCTGTTTTCTTCTGTCCCCGCTTCCTCTCTCCCGGGTTTCTGTGTGGCTCTGCCTTTCTCTGGAATGGCCTGTTTTCATTCTGTCACTGTCCCTCTCCCTCTGACTTTTCTGTCTCTTGTCAGTGAAGTTTGCTTTTTCTGTACGTTGTGTGGCTGCATCTCCATTTGAGTCAGCCTACTCCCTCTGCCGCTTGCTTCCTAACTCTGGGTGGTCTCAGCCAGCCTCTTTCTGTCTCCCTTTCTCACTCAGTGTCTCTCTCTTCTCTCTGTCACTGTGTCCCATTTAATCTGATTCTCTTAGTCTTGGCCACTATCTTTGTGGGTGCCCAAGCCCCCAACCCCACAGGAGCAGACTCTGCCACGACTAGGGGGAGGGTGAGGCCCCTAGCCTGCCACCCCCAGCCTACTGGTATATATATATATATATATATAAAGGTATATGTACATATTATTTATATCTGTGCCCGGGGGCAGGGGGGCAGACACTGGAACCTTTGTGTAGCCACTGCCCGCTTGCCCGCCACTCCTCTCACTTCGTCCCTGCCGCCTGCCCGCCTCCACTCCCCCCGCACAGAAAGGTTCCTGTGGGGCCTGCCAGCTTCCTCTGCCTGAGGTGTGAGTGGGCACGCCACGGGTGAGGCGGGCAGGGGGGCCCAGGGGGTTTTTCCAGCTCCTGGGAAGCTTTCCGGGTGGGGAGGTCTCTGGAAGGAATAGAACTTCTCAGCCAGGCTGCTGTCTGTCTGTCTGCATCTGCTGTCCCTGGGTGTCCGGGTCCTTAGCTGGCCTCTCCCTGGGGGTCTCTGAGTCCATCTATCCGTCTAGATGTCATTCTGACTTTTTTTGGCAGCTGGCTGGTAACGGGATCGAACCCTCGACTTTGGTGTTATAACGCTGAACTCTAACCAACTGAGCCCGCCGGCCAGCCCGTTCTGACTTTTCTCTGTGGGTTTGGGTCTCACTCCCTCACATATACAATGATGCTGGGCATATGTGCTAGGCCCTCTGTTGATCACTGGACACATAAATGATTGTCTGTCCCAGCCGATTCTTTGTCACTTCTGCTCCATCCCTTCACCCACTGCTTGAAACCTTCCATCTGTTCTTATTAAAACAAAAATCCAAAGTCCTTATCATAGCCTACAGGCTCCCCTGACACTTAGCCCGGGGGCAGGGGGGCAGACACTGGAACCTTTGTGTAGCCACTGCCCGCTTGCCCGCCACTCCTCTCACTTCGTCCCTGCCGCCTGCCCGCCTCCACTCCCCCCGCACAGAAAGGTTCCTGTGGGGCCTGCCAGCTTCCTCTGCCTGAGGTGTGAGTGGGCACGCCACGGGTGAGGCGGGCAGGGGGGCCCAGGGGGTTTTTCCAGCTCCTGGGAAGCTTTCCGGGTGGGGAGGTCTCTGGAAGGAATAGAACTTCTCAGCCAGGCTGCTGTCTGTCTGTCTGCATCTGCTGTCCCTGGGTGTCCGGGTCCTTAGCTGGCCTCTCCCTGGGGGTCTCTGAGTCCATCTATCCGTCTAGATGTCATTCTGACTTTTTTTGGCAGCTGGCTGGTAACGGGATCGAACCCTCGACTTTGGTGTTATAACGCTGAACTCTAACCAACTGAGCCCGCCGGCCAGCCCGTTCTGACTTTTCTCTGTGGGTTTGGGTCTCACTCCCTCACATATACAATGATGCTGGGCATATGTGCTAGGCCCTCTGTTGATCACTGGACACATAAATGATTGTCTGTCCCAGCCGATTCTTTGTCACTTCTGCTCCATCCCTTCACCCACTGCTTGAAACCTTCCATCTGTTCTTATTAAAACAAAAATCCAAAGTCCTTATCATAGCCTACAGGCTCCCCTGACACTTACGGCTCTTCCCTCTGCCATAACTGCCCACATGGCTGCTTCTGGGACAAACCCAAGCAGGCTCCCAGCTCAGGGCCTTCACACATGCTATATTCACCCAGATTTCCCCAGGCTCTCTCTCACCTCCTTCAGTTCTTAGTGTCATTTCCTCAGTGAGCCCTTCCCTATCTCTCTCTCTAAAACAGGAACCTGCATCATCCTCTGTCCCCTTTCCGGCTCCCAGCTCAGGGCCTTCACACATGCTATATTCACCCAGATTTCCCCAGGCTCTCTCTCGCCTCCTTCAGTTCTTAGTGTCATTTCCTCAGTGAGCCCTTCCCTATCTCTCTCTCTAACACAGGAACCTGCATCATCCTCTGTCCCCTTTCTCTGGCTTATTATTATTTTTTTCCATAGGACTTACTGCTCCGTGGCTGTCATATTTTATGGGTCTGTCTGCATCTCCCACCTGAATGTCAGCTCCATGAGAGTAGGGGCTGCCTTCTGTTCCCTGCTCTATCCACAGCACCCACTGCTATGCTTGTCATAAGGTGGATGCTGAATAAACATTTGTTTAGGGAGAGAAGGAGCCCACTAATCCATCCTTCCCTTAAGCAAGCCCTGTGCTTAGTGATGCTGAGGACCAAGTGGTGACCAAGACAGCCTTGACCCTACCCTTCGGGGCTCATAATGCAGTTGCCAGACAGTGATGATGCAGCACAGGCAGGGTTGGGATGGGAAAGTGCAGGGGGTTTGGGGAGCCAAAAAACTGCATCTGATCCAGCCTGGGGGTCCAAGAAGGCTTCCTGGAGATGTCAGCTAGGCTGCAACCTGGAGGATAACTCGGAGTGAACCAGACCCTGTTCTGATCGTTGGAGACCAAATGACTAAAACAGACCCAGCATTGCCCGTCGCTGAGTTCCCATTCTCTTCATCTGTCGCATGAAACTTCCGAGTTTGAGGATGTCTCAACTCTCTAGCTCAAACCTGTGCCTCCCCGATTTCAGACTCTCATCGGCTCTTTATTCCCCTCTCTGCATTTGTCTTCCTTCTATGTCTCTATTGTTGGCATCTCATCTGTGTGTCTCAGTCCCTCCCAACGTAGCTGGATATTGGTCCACTTAGTTCTCTTTTCTGAACATCTGTCTCTCCTCCTGTTTCTGCCTCATCTCCCTCATCTCTGAGGTTCTCTCCAGTCTCTTTCTGTCTCTCTAGGTCTCTGGCTCATGTGTCTCCTTGTCTCTTTCAGCGAGCTGGTCTCTCTTTGCATCTCTCCTGTCTCAAAGTTTCTTCACATACTCACTTTATTTTGGAATCATTTATTTG